CACCACACACACACACACACACACACACACACACACACACACACACACACACACACACACACACACACACACACACACACACACACACACACACACACACACACACACACACGCACACACACCACACACACACGCACCGGGTTTCTTGCTGGTCGTATTATCTCAGGCGGCAGTTCTTATGCGTTGACACGCACCAGCGTCTTTATTGATCAACCTACTGCTCCCGACAAAAGCCGAAAAGCCCCGTTGCTTGACGTTTGTGTGCTGCTATTGACTTTTTTGTGGCAGCTAACAAAAGGTGCAGGTCGCGTAAGGAAGGGGGTGGCTCGAATAGAAGTGTCTTCCAACATCGTGTGGTCGATGCGAAGGAAACTGTGGGAATAATCATGTCTCCCTCTATCTCATCCTTACATCTCCACACAGACCTGCCTGTATGGTCTCCCTCTATCGTTCATCCTTACATCATCCACACAGACCTGCCTGTATGTCTCCCTGTCTAATCTCATCCTCTACACTCCACACAGACCTGCCTGTATGCTCTCCTCTATCTCATCCTTACACCTCCGACACGACCTGCTGATATGTCTCCCTCCTCTCTCATCCTTACACCTGCCACACCAGACCTGCCTGTATGTATCCCTCTAATCTCATCCTTACATCTCCACACGACCTTGCCTGTATGTCTCCCTCTATCTCATCCTTACATCTCACACAGCCGTTGCGTGTTATATCTCCCTCTATTTCTCATCCCTTACACCTCACACAGACCTGCCTGTTGTCTCCCTCTATCTAATCCTTACATAATCCACACAGACCTGGCCTGTATGTCTCCCTCTATCTCATCCTTACATCTTCCCAACAGACCTGCCTGTATGTCTCCCTCTTATCTTATTCTATACATCTCACACAGACCTGCTGTATGTCCCCTCTATCTCATCACTACATCTCCACACAGACCTGGCCTGTATGTCGCCTCTCTATTCTATCCTTATCGTCCACACAGACCTGCCTGTATGTCTCCTCTTATCTCATCTCTTACACCTCCACACAGGACCTGCCTGTATGTCTCCCTCTATCTATCCTTTACACCTCCACACAGACCTGCTGTATGTCTCCCTCTATCCTCATCCTTACACCTCCACACAGACCTGGCTGTATGTCTCCCTCATATCTCATCCTTACCCTCCACACAGACCTGCCTGGTATGTCTCCTCTATCTCATCCTTAACATCTCACACAGACCTGCCTCTATCTCATCCTTACACCTCCACACAGACCAGCCTGTATGTCTCCACTCTATCTCATCCTTACACTCCACACAGCCTGCCTGTATGTCTCCCTCTATTCATCCTTACACCTCCACACAGACCTTGCTGTAATGTTCTCCTCTATCTTCATCCGTTACACCATCCACACAGACCTGCTGTTATGCTCCCTCTACTCATTCCTTACACCTCCACACAGACCTGCCTGTATGTCTCCCTCTATCTCATCCTTTACATCTCACACAAGACTCCTGTATGTCTCCCTCTATCTCATCCTTACATCTCCACACAGCACCTGCCTGTATGTCCCCTCCTATCTCATCTTACATCTCCACACAGACCTGCCTGTATGTCTTCCTCTATGCTCATCCCTTACACACTCCACACAGTAACCTGCCTGTATGTCTCCCTCTATCTATTCCTTACATCTCCACACAGACCTGCCTGTATGTCTCCCTCTATCTCATCCTTACATCTCCACACAGACCTGCCTGTATGTCTCCCTCTATCTCATCCTTACACCTCCACACAGACCTGCCTGTATGTCTCCCTCTATCTCATCCTTACACCTCCACACAGACCTGCCTGTATGTCTCCCTCTATCTCATCCTTCCAACCTCCACACAGACCTGCCTGTATGTTCTCCCTCTATCTCATCTTACACCTCCAACACAGGACCTGCCTGTATGCTCTCCCTCTATCTCATCCTTGACATCTCCATAACAGGACCTGCCTGTATTGTCTCCCTCTATCTCATCCTTACACCTCCACACAGACCTGCTGTATGTCTCCCTCTATCTATCCTTAACACCTCCACACAGACCTGCTGTATGCTCTCCCTCTATCTCATCCTTACACCTCCACACAGACCTGCCTGTATGTCTCCCTTATCTCATCCTTACACCTCCACACAGACCTGCCTGTATGTCTCCCTCTATCTCATCCTTACACCTCCACACAGACCTGCCTCTATCTCATCCTTACACCTCCACACAGACCTGCCTGTATGTCTCCCTCTATCTCATCCTTACACCTCCACACAGACCTGCCTCTATCTCATCCTTACACCTCCACACAGCCTGTATGTCTCCCTCTATCTCATCCTTACATCTCCACACAGACCTGCGTATGTCTCCCTCTATTCTCATCCTTACACCTCCACACAGACCTTGCCTGTTGTCTCCTCTATCTCATCCTTACACCTCCACACAGGACCTGCCTTGTATGTCTCCTCTATCTCATCCTTACATTCTCACCACAGGACCTGCCTGTATGTCTCCCTCTATCTCATCCTTACATCTCCACACAGACCTGCCTCTATCTCATCCTTACACCTCCACACAGACCTGCCTGTATGTCTCCCTCTATCTCATCCTTACATCTCCACACAGACCTGCCTGTATGTCTCCCTCTTCTCATCCTTACATCTCCACACAGACCTGCCTGTATGTCTCCCTCTATCTCTCCTTACACTCACACAGACCTGACCTGGTATGTCTTCCCTCTATCTCATCCTTTACACCTCACACAGACCTGCCTGGTATTGTCTTCCCTCTATCTCATCCTTACATCTCCACACGGACCTGCCTGGTATCGTCTGCCTCTATCTACTCTTACACTTCCACACCGACCTGCTGTTATGTCATCCCTCTATCTCATCCTTTACACCTCACACAGACCTGCCTTGTATTTCTCTCTCTATCTCATCCTTACACTCCACACAGACCGGCCTGTACTGTCCCCTCTAGCTCATCCTTACATCTCCACACGGACCTGCCTGGTATGTCTGCTGCTATCTCATCCTTACACCGTCCACAAGAACTGCACTGTATGTCTCCCTCTATCTTCATCCTTACACCTCACACAGACTGCCTGTATGTCTCCTCTATTCATCCTTACAATCTCCACACAGACCTTCCCGTATGTCTCCTCTAATCTCAGCCCTTACACCCTCCACACAGACTGCTGTATGTCTCCCTCTATTCATCCTTACATCTTCCTCACCAGACCTGCCTGTATTTGTCTTCCCCTCTATCTCATCCTTAATTCCACCAGACCTGCCTGTATGTCTCCCTCTATCTCATCCTTACATCTCCACACAGACCTGCCTGTATGTCTCCCTCTATCTCATCCTTACATCTCCACACAGGACCTGCTGTATGTCATCCTCTATCTCATCCTCTACACCTCACACAGACCTGCCTGTATGTCTCCCTCTTATCTATCCTTACACCTTCCACACAGACCAGCCTGTTTGTCTCCTTATCTCATCCTTTACATCTCCCACACAGAAACCTGCGCCGTATGTCATCCCTCTATTCATCCTTACTCTCACACAGACCATGCCTGTATGTCTCCCTCTACTCTCAGGCCTTACAGTTCTCCCACACAGACCTTGCCCTGTATGTCTCCAATCTAATCTCATCCTTACATTCGCCACACAGACCTGCTGTAATGTCTCTCTCTATCTCATCCTTACATCTCCACACAGAACCTTCGCCTGTAATGTCCTTCTCTAATCTCATCCTTACATCTCCACACAGACCTGCCTGTATGTCTCCCTGCTATCTCATCCTTACACGCTCACACAGACCTGCCTGTATGTCTCCCTCCTACTTCTTCAATCCTTTACACCTTCCACACAACTGCCTGTATGTCTCCCTCTATCTCATCCTTACATCTCCACACAGACCTGCCTGTATGTCTCCCTCTATCTCATCCTTACACTCCACACAGACCTCCTCTATCTCATCCTTACACCTCCACACAGACTGACCTGTATGTCTCCCTCTATCTCTCCTTACACCTCCACACAGAACCTGGCCTGTAATGTCTCCCTCTATCTATCCTTACATCTCACACAGAGGGCCGGTGCGCGTGTATGTCTGCCAACTATA